AGTTTTTAAAAGTTTGTGTTTTTGGAAGATTTTGTATAATTTGTTTAGCCTACTTTTATTAGATTTTATTTAGTTTAAATCGGTTCATCGTCTTTTTCAATATTAAAATTTTTTCTCTTATTAAACATATTAACCCATTGAGTTATTTTCAAATCCTTCATAAAACAAGTCTATGAAAATATAAAAAAATTTAAAAATTTGTTTTAAACTACTATAAGTTGAATATAATTGTTATAAACATGTAAACTATTGATAATTATTAGATTTAATTTATTTTCCTTTCATATATACATTTATGTTCATATATTTAATTCTGTTTTTATATTTATATTTTGTTTTTATATTGTTTTAAATATATATATATATATATATATCAATTGTATTCTCTTCTTATTATGGAAAAAAATACACAATTGAATATTAGTCCAGGCAGGTGATGACATCCAGGAAATCCAAACTGTGAAGGCTCTATTGAATGCAAAGTTCAAGATTAAAGATCTAGGCCAACTCAAGTATTTTCTGAGCTTAGAAATTGTAAGATCTCAAAAGAGTATTAATTTGTCACAAAAGAAGTATGCTTTAGAATTAGTAGAAGATGCAGGATTGTTGGGATGTCAACCTGTTTCTACTCTCATACAGTCAGTCACAAAATTTTTCAAGACAGAAGAGAAACTCTATTCAGATGTGTATGCCTATAGAAGACTTCTTAGCAGGTTATTATATCTAACCAACACGAGACCAGATTTATGTTTTGCTGTTAGTACTCTCAGTCAATTTCTTTCCAATCTTTTGAAAGAACACTATGCAACAGCAATAAGGATCCTAAGATATATCAAGAACAATCCAAGACAAGGGTTATTCTTTCCCTCCAACACAGAACATGCTCTCAAGGCTTTTAGTGATTCTGATTGGGCTGCTTGCCCTGACACTAGAAGGTCTGTGACTGGTTTTAATGTGTTCTATGGTGCATCCTTAATCAACTAGAAATCCAAGAAGCAAGATACTATATCTAGATCATCAACCGAAGAGAATATAGAGCCTTAGCTTCCACAACATGTGAAATTCAATGGCTTCTGTATTTGCTCCATGATTTGAAAGAGCCTCTACCACAACCAGTTCCTCTGTTTTGTGACAATCAATCTGCTATACAAATTGCACAGAATCCAGCCATGCATGAAAGGACAAAGCATATTGAAATTGATTGTCATCTCATAAGGGATAAAGTTAAGCTGGTGTAATTAAGCTTCTGCCCATTTCTACTTGAGTCCAACTTGCAGACATTCATACTAAAGCTTTGCATCCAACATAATTTCAATCTTTGTTGTCTAAGCTGAGCATTAAGGATATATATGCTGCAGCTTGAGAAGGGATATTGAATTTAATTTATTTTCCTTTCATATATGTGCATATATTTATATTCTGTTTTTATATTGTTTTAAACAACTATATATATATATATATATATATATATATATATATATATCAATTATACCTTGTCCTTGAATAAGATACACCATTTTCATCATTTCTTTTCTTCAAACAATAATGAGAATAACATCCTCTATAGAAGACATATAGACCAAAGAATTATATTTTACCAACACACTATGGTCAAGCTTCTTAACAATATTTATTGAGATCGAAATGATTTACTACTGACATAACTGAGTAACAAACTATATTACAAGAGATTGTATCATAAAACGATTAAACCAGGTACTCTACTAAAAGATTTATGAGAGACTCAACCATAAACTTAGACTCCATCACTTAAACTAAAAGGCCCATAGTCACACGTTATTGTATTTTTCATCAACTATTTACTTGCAAAAATACGTTATGACTAATATTTTACAAATAAAAACAATTTACATAATAATAAACATAAATTCTAATTTTTTATGTTGATGTTGATCTGTACGTGTCTTAGATATAACTTTTAATTTACAATTGTATTTGTTAAAGTAGTCATAATCAAAATTTTCTTAATTGAAATTTGTAACAATGTTTTATTCTTACTACATTATAGTATAAATATATATTTATTAATCATCCCTTCACAGTAGACAACATCAGGTTTACCACTTTCTTTATGTCAACGATGTGACGTTGCATTGTATTTGTTTTACCTTGATATTATAATATTATCTACAATTACACTACAAAAATAATTAATTTAAGGGTTAAATATGTTTTTAGTCCCTAAACTATTGGCCGTTTCTGGTTTTCGTCCCTCTTTCAAAGTAAGGTACAATTTGGTCCTCGTTTTTTAGAAAAATGTTCGTTTTAGTCTTCAAAATTTTGTTTTTAGTCCTCGTTTTAGTCCTCAAAACGTTCGTTTTTTCGACTAAAACGAACGTTTTTTAAAGATTGAGGACTAAATTGTACCTTACTTTGAAAGAGGGACGAAAACCAGAAACGGTCAATAGTTTAGGGACTAAAAACATATTTAACCCTTAATTTTAGGAGGGGTTATTTTATGAGGGTTTAGAAATCTCGAATAATTCCGGTGGTTTTAATAAAACCGTCCCTAAAATATGATTTTCTTTTAATTTTATAATATTTACGAACCCATATCCCCTCCACGTGTCTTCGGCCATTCATTTTAGGAACATCTATTCTAATTTGGGGTATATTTTCGAACCCTAAAACCTTCTTCCTGTTTTCATAAAAATTTCCCTCAAATCCTACCCTGCACCACAATCTTCTCCTGCTTGGCTTTGTGTTCGTCTTCTTTGGCTTGGCTTTGTGTTCGTCTTCTCTTCTTGTTTGGTTTCGTGTTCGTCTTCTCCTGTGAGGTGGAGGCGTCGAGGTGGAGGCATCGAGGTGGAGGCGTCGAGGCATTTGTGGGTTGAGCGAGTTCGAGGTACTCTGGTGCACTCCCGCACTGACCGTCAAAGTAAGACTGTGTTCGATCTTGGCTCTCTAGTTTAGGTTTTCGAAGTCATCTACTTACGAATCACTTCGATCTCATTGCAAATCCATATGTTCTGGTTTAATTTTTGTGTTTTCTGTTATGGATCAATAGCTGTTGTAAATTGTTTAGGATAATCTTTGTTTTGGCTAATGTTAAATAGTTTTAAATATTCTTATACTTCACTAATGAGATATTCTGTTGCACCTTATCTGCAAATTTGTTGGCTACATAATAGGCTACTGTTTTGTTAATTGATTCTGTCAATATTTGGACAGATTCTATCTAGTGGTTTCCTTGTTTTTTTACTACATAGTTAAGGCATTTAAATATATACTTTTACATGTAAATTTATATACGTTAATTTATCTTATTATCATTAAGCGAACATGATTTTCTAAAAAATATAATCATTGTTTTTATTTGTCCAAATAAAACATTCACATAGTTTATATAATTGTTTAAATAAGAAATTACGTGCGGTGGACGACTTGTAACATGATTTCAAGAAATTGAGGCGATCTCAGAGTACAGATTATTAGGAGATGACGTGACCTAGGCGTTTCTACATAAATAATATTACTTTATTAAAACCAATTAATGACATTAAAAACAATAAACACAACTAATAATTAAGTAGGAAATCCTAAATAAAGACATATCTAAGATACCTAAGTAAATAAATATCATCTCTAAGTACGAGATCTGCCCAATTATTGTTGTAAGTATTATCTCTAAGTATTATTGAATTAAGCGTAAGAGTGACTTTATAGGTTTTTCAACCAAATACTAATAAGATTGAACAAAGAGAATGGAAAGTAAATATATTTGAACATATCGACAAAAAAAGATATCTACCACAGAGAATGAAAATATAACTAAAAGTTAAGTAGACACGTGTATTTGACGAATACATTTGTCGTGTAAGAACAAATTATATACACATACTTAATTATGTATTAAAATTATATATATATATATATATATATATATATATATATATATATATATATATATATATATAATTTTTATATTCAATGGTAAATAATATAATTGATTATTATTAAAAAATTTGGTTAAATTAATTTAAGATAATTTTATATAATAATTATTCGAATTTATCAAATTTTAAATATTTTCAATCAAAGTTTATAGTTTATAAGACTTTTTTAAGTACATTAAAGTTTTTCTTTGTATTTTTTTTAATACATTTGAATATTATTGATGAGATCATTGTATATACTCCTGGTTTTAGTTTTTTTCTTTAAATATTTGTCATAAGAGGTAATATCATTCCTTATCTATCTATCATTATTTTTAGTACACTTAGGTTTGGTGAGTTCATGTGATATGTTTTTACGTGAAATTGTGATGTGTTCTCAATGAGAGTCTTTTGTACATTTTGAGCGAGTAACTATAATTAATTATTTTCAAAATAATAAAATAATTTCCTTAAAATTGTACCGTAGTTTGGGATAAAATAAAATCAATAAAAAATATGTATTATTGTGGTTTTTACTCTCTGCATTTTAATTTTTTTTACCTTTCTCATGGTTTATTTGTGATGTTCTTTATATTTTAAATATTTCAAAAGACATTATCTAAATATTTTCCAGTGAGACACATAATACATTCTCTCTGCTTTTATGTATAGAATAAAGTAACAGAAAAATCAGGTGCAATAGTTTAAAGTATGAAGTGTAGTTAATTAAAATGCAATTTTTTTCTCTCCCAGGTGTTTGTTCGAAATGATTGGACAAATTGTATATCTGTCAAGCAAACGGTGCGTTTGATATTAAAACCTAGAAAACCAAAAGCTTGGTTCTCTCACGCGTCAGGCTCCCACTAACAACTGGAACATCTTCAATTAGCCTAAATCATACCTGGCCCCGCCAACTGGCTTAATATCTAATTCATTTTCTACTTACCTGTTTCTCGAATTCTTTTTTTTCACACAAACATTGACAACATTGTAACTATGTTTTGGATTGTCAAAAGTAAAAACCTGTGTTTTCGATTATGAAAAGTAAACAGCGATGTTGGAGAAGAATTATGGTGGGGTTTACGATAATGAGTGGGTGTGAAGCAACTACTACGAGTGGCAGAACTCGTAAATAAGATGCACATCTGAGGTCATTTTGGCGTTAACCTTTGCATATAAGCCGAGATAGGAGGCGCTCTTCATCCTGTGTTTTGCCAACTCATCTCACAAAACTCAAGTAACCAAATTCAAATCAACCATGGGAAGCTCCACGACCTTCCTCTGTACCTTCTTCCTCGCCTGTGCGATCCTCACCGTCCACGTCGCACAATCCTCGCCGTCCACTATGGACTTCACCGGCGACCTCGGCACCTTCTTCCTCCCTCTCAAGTCCGGTTGTCGCGGATCCGTCGCGGAGTGCGGCCTCCTCGTCGGCGAAGACGACGACGCCGAGTTTCTGATGGACTCCGAGACCAGCCGGCGCATTCTCGCGGGAAGGACCTACATAAGCTACGGTGCGCTGAGGAGGAACACCGTCCCTTGCTCGCGACGCGGCGCTTCCTATTACAATTGCCGGCCCGGCGCTCAGGCCAACCCCTACAGTCGCGGATGCAGTGCCATCACCCGATGCAGGCGTTGAGAAAAGGCTATTATTCTTCTCATTTTATTTTAATTTTTAATTTTTGTAATTGATGAAAATCATTGTTGTGATAATGTCAAGCTACCACATATATACAAGTAGAGAAGAGAAAGAGAAGTAGACATGAATAAAATCTAATCGCCGCCGTTTGTATCTGTATTGTAATTTAATTTAATCTTAGGTACACATATTATCATTATTAATTATTAATAGTGGTTGCGATTCGGATGTGTGAAAATTCTCATAATTATTCATATTTTTCTTTTTATCGTTCTTGTCAATTTCGTCGGTGGGTTCTGACAGTGAGTATGTGTTCCTTCTTGTCATGTGGGAAATGAAAGAGAGATTTAGGGGTGATTGATGGATTTGACAGACAGACATACATGGCAGTGTTTGGTTAAATGTTTTCTTTTGGTTTTGGAAAAAATAGAGAAATTGTTTCATGTAATAATGCGTTTTTTAATTAGAAATGAAAAATGTTGGTGTTTTTGGATTTTGGGATGAGAGGCTTGAGAGCGAAGGAGGGTGGCATCTGTCCCGTGCGCTGGCCCTCCGTGTTTCCTTTTTCTCTTTCCAGCACACGCTTTGATGAAATTGAGGAAAAAAAATAGTAGAAAAACTATGGCCATTTTATCACCAAAAAATGAAACCAAATAGGTCGCTTTCTCTCCTTTCCCTCTAAAGAAGAAGAACATGAAAAATGGCCAAATACGTTGGATGCCCATATTTCTTTGTCGGTTAAAGTACTCGAGATCGTTGCTATTCTTATGTGAGAGTAATTTGTTTATGAGGAAAAAAGTAAGACTTGGTTTTTGTAATCGAAAGTTGTTTTCCAGGCTCCGTGGCGCAGATAGCGCAGCTATCTATTTTCAACATTTATATTTTAATATCTGTAATTTTGACTCCCCATAAATAAATGTACTAATGGCATGGACGAACAATTACTCCTTTGGTTGAGTTAGTTATCAAATTTATTGTGGTCTTTATCGACCTTTGGTAACAAGGTGGTCATTTCATATAAACAGCCTTTGAAATTCTTAAAATATGTTTGGTTTCTTTTGGTTTCCATTGGAGGATGAACGATTTATCCTGGATTAAAGGCAGCCTCACATGACGTTTTAATATTATTATTATTATTATTATTATTATCTACATCAATTGAAATGGGTGAACGCGGTCCTATGATTATTATGATGGCATTGGCATCTTGGTTACCTTTTCTGTGTGACAACTAAATACACCTCACAAACCTTGTCCCATTATCTTGTGTACAACTATGATTTTGTCCCGGACCACCACCCATTTCAGAATCAGAGCCCAAACCCCAAACCCTAAAATGCTCTTCTTCTACGTCTTTCTACTTTCAAACTTTCACAGTTATTACATTATTTAATGCCTATAAGTTTCTCAACCATGCACTTCTCAACGTCATTTTGTACAATTTGAATTCTTTTCTTGATTTTTCTGTGCTTTTTTTATGCTGTGCCTCCAAAAATACACTGATAACACTAATTTTAATGTTTTAAAATATATTAAAAAAGTTTAAAATACCAATATCATCAGGGTATTATTAATGTTCAACAGAAAAAAAAAACAGCAGCAACAAGTATGAACTCCATTTTGCACGCACCAATGCCCAATCACTCAAGCAACTCTGCTAAGCTGTCAAATACTATCTCATGGCAGAAAAATGATTTTAAGTTTTTAATATTTTAGAATGAGTAACGATATTTTGACAACATTTTTTATAATATTTTAATATTATTTACGTGTTATTTTATGATTGGTCTAAAATTACTTTAGGATCAATAATAATAATCATAAACACTAACATGAGTCAATCTGACATCTAAATAATATTAAAATATTGTTAAAATATCGTTATTCTTTTAAAACTGATTAGATAATCAGTTAATCAGTTTTTAGTAAATATTTTTTAAAGGCCAGTGATGTTTTCTACGAGTGTTGACATACAATACAGCTATTAAATTTTTCGTATGATATTTTCTTTTTCAGAGGAATTCTTTTTGAAGAAAATCAAATAATTAGAATGTGTATTTTATATATTTTTTCCTGATCTCGTCTCTGAAAAGCTGATGCTTGGTTTAAAATGAAAGAGTGTCTTGCATAAATGCCACCATATTAAAGAGAATTATTAATCGTCTCACATAAATATGTTTCCCATCAATCATTTTCTGTATTAATTCTCCTCTTTCTTCGCATTAATATAAAATTAAATTGATTTAAGTGTTGTAAAGTACTCTAACGTTATTTGTAGCTGATATAAGATACCCTAATAAATAGTAATTAAATTTTGGCCTTTTGCTTTAATTTCTTGATAGGGAAAGTTTCTTGTAAATAATTACTTATTTCCTCCAAATCAAAGAAAAGACACGCGTCTCTTCTTTTAACAGAGAAGGAAAGTTAACATTTACATAATAACATTAAAAATATCATAAACTTAAACAAAATATTTTAAACAGAAGATAAAGATTGTTAATTTGTAGTACAATTTTTTTGTAATACCCATCTATGAAAAATAAAATGGTGAAAACTTGTTCCTCTCCTATTATTATATAAAATAGACACCTATCTCCCTTAGTTATTATTATTTTTAATTATATAGTATTGCATATAAGTGGTTCAATTATTTTAAGAATAAACAAAAAATAGTAATTCTTTAAATATGTTATAAATGTTTATTTAAGTACACATGAGTTTCTAAAATATAGAAATAAAGTTTAGCAATAATAAACATGATCATAAAAAAAAGAGAAATTAATTTTAATATTTACTTCATCTTGTATAGTGAAATATAGACGTAACAATGTATTGTTATTGTATAAATGTAAGACATGCATACACAAAAAAGTTATAATAGGAACATTTGTATGTAAGAATATAGGAATCTCCAATAACATATCAATGAAATAGCGTAATTTATGATATTCAACTCTTTCCAAAAACATATATTAAGTTAACTACCCATCACAACACCTTTAATAGAATCGACCTCAATTTTTTTTTATCTCATAATGGTTCTTTGCATATGTTATAACAATTCTTGATAAAAAAACCTCTTTAACTTCTCACCACTTGATGTCCTTTTCATAAAGAGATATGTGCTTAATACTACAATCTTTGGAGCCATAACACTATCCCAACTATTCCCTGCCAAACATTCATAAAAGACCGACACATGCTTAATACTTTTTATTTTATTTTTTATATTCCCCTACCTTTCGTCGGCTTATGGGCCTCCCAGTCCAACCCAACTAAAACTTAAAAAAAGAAAAATATATTATATATACATAAAGGGGTTTACTAACTCTTAAAATATATCAAATTTTAGTTGAAAAAATATCATCATATATTATGAATTATAAATTTTAAAGTTAAAAATATTTGAATAATTACTAATTTTTATTTTATTTTTTTATTTTAAATTAAAATTAAAAATTATTAAAATACTCCTTTATTTAAAGTATATTTTTTTCGTAAATAGAGATTTTTTTGTCAACTAAAATTTGATACATTTAAGAGTTACATAAGTTAACAAAACCATATATATATATATATATATATATATATATATATATATATTATAGAACGTGTATTTTATATAAATTTTGTTTCATTTAAGTTTTTTTTAATTATTTTGTTAATTTATTAGATTGCTTTTTTCACAAATTATTTAATTAATAAAATGTGTTGATGATTTTAATTATTTATTTTCTTCATTTTTATTTTCACTTAATTTTAACTGTTTATATATTTTATTGGTTTATTCTTTTAATTTATATTAAAATAAAAATTAAAAAAAATAATAAAACAAAGACTACCAGAGAAAAGTTGTAAATAAATAAATAAATAAAAACTAACTTATAATTTTTCTAGATAAATAGCTACAATTTTTCTAAAATTGAAAAAGAATTAAAACTAATAAAAACTAAAATAATTTCTTCAAACGACTTTTTTATTAAAAAGTCCATATTTTGAAAGATAAATTTCTTTATTTAAGTCAAAGATCTGAAATATTGTTTGTATTTTTTCAAAATGTATGTGTTTCAAAGAATTCTTGAAAGTTATTGCATTAAAAATATCAGATGCAAACTGAACAATTATCACGGTATCGACTTGTGCATGGTGAGGTGCATCCGGAGTTTTGCAAATGATGCCAACTTAATTCATGTTGAAAGATTTCGGAAATAAGCAACTCAATGGTGTATGTTCCAAGATTTTTAAACTTCGTAGTAATTAAATTAAATTAAATGTGATGTTTTCTTCTTAAAGACTTTTTTCACTGTCTCGCCAAATAAATTATTAAATAATTAACACAAATTTGTTTTCAATACTTGAAGTTTAAAATTAACATTTTAATTTCTGCTGATAAAATAAACATTTTTAATTTCTAAACACATTTTTAAATTAAATTTTGCACATGGTAAAAAAACATTAAAACCGATTTAAAATTTAACAATCTGAATTAATTTAACTGAACAGATTAAAACAAATCACATTTCAATTTCAAAAACTTAATTTTAAAATTTCCAAAAGAAATCAATTTCCAATTAGAAATTATTATGCTGTAGAAAAATAAGATTTTACATCATGAGTGACATCTCTTAAAAATATTGATTAAAAGTTTTTTGATGAAATAAATTTTGTAAGATTGACTATGGAAGTAACACTTTAACTGAACCAGCTCGTTAAATTCCCTAGTTTGTGAGGCATGGCATGAGATTTGATAGATTTGTGAGGGTGACAATCACCCACAATAGATTGAACACAATGTAATTTACAGGCAAGGGAAATGTCTAAATACAGACAAATGGCCCCAACATGTTACATCATGGCAAACTCATGTTACAAATAGAAATTTGGGTTAGGATTTGTCAAGTCAAATATTCTGCATCAGTGGATCAATCTGGACACATGAATTAGGCGAAGGCTGTTGTACAAATTCAGGTTCATCTAAATCCTGAGATTGAATATGTATATCCTGTCATTTGAAGTCAGGGTGACTGATACAACATAAACAATAAAACAAAGTACATCAAAAATAAAAGACGTGGTCGAGATTAGATTTCGTTAAATCATTAATACAATTAATCCAACAGCTAGCTCTCAGGGAGTCAGGATTCAGTCACATTTTCTTTAGTTGGCAAATTCCATTTTGCACTAACAAATAAATTTGAAGTTGAGAAACTAATCAATGTAAAGGAGTCAGACTCAAGATTGATTAATTGCCTGTAAGCCTATTACTATAATTTTAATCCCAGGGAACAGTTGTTGGATTTCTAGGTCAGTTCTCATTAATATTAATAAATACTTGAGAGATTAGTCTCGTGGTAATGTCTATGGGAATACTTTAGTCAAAGACTGAAAATATACTACTTGTTAAGGTTTTCCCACTTCTTCACTCTTCCTGTATTTCCCCCTAAATTTAATATAACAAATTCTACAGACATGTTAAAAAAAATCTAGCATCAATTTGTTTTCTGAATTTTAACTCACTGAGTATGGGAAGAGATTGTAAATTCCATACCTGCGTTGATATAAGTGGTTGAGATTGTTGATCTTGAGCTAATGCATAAGCCTGTGGTTGAGACATTCTATAATAGGGTTCTTTCAGATCAAGTTTACAGGAAGATGTTTGGAGAATTCCCCCTTGTTCAGCACCAGGACCCCACATTTTAGCTAAATGCAAATTGAAATTTGGTCAATTAACATGATGGTGCAGGTATATCAAACAATAAGGAAAAGAAGCAGACTAGTACCAACCTGACAATGTTAAATAAATTGTATAACTCTGTGCATTGTGGGCAATCAAGTGAAGCCTGCCAGTAATTTCTTGTCCAGCCATGACGTATATTGGCTGTGAGAGAACACAACGTAACTGGTACCAATGGGTTGTCGGTGACCCAGGAGCAGTGGTAAGCCACCTTTGCACAGTACTGTTGATTTGCATATATTTTAAGGAAAACTCAACAGATCAGAACAATAACCAAAGCATCTAAATAAATGCAGGCTAGACAAATAAAGAGGAACATGTACCTTCCATTGAACAGCACATCAAACCAACAAGCTAAGCCATGAACTCTGGTGCCCACAGAGGCTATGAATCTCAGAGGAATATCAATTTCATACAGTTCTTCCTCCTACAATATAAAAAGTGATCTGGTCAGTGGTAAAAAATTCGTAGTCAACTTTACTGCAAGCATTGAAAGAATACAATAATAACAGAATGAACACAATTAAGTCCCACGTGAACAGTATACTACTTATAAAAAACAATGATTCATAACCAGAAGAATGCATGCCTTTTTGTAGTTTCATAGAATTTCTTCTTCCATAAAGTAACTCGTGAAACAATTAGATGAGAAGCCCGGGACTTTATTTAAAATAGGTTTCAATATGGAAGCATGTTTGCCTTAAAAATAAATCAATTACATGAAAAACTGAATGCAATCGAAATAAATCAGCTTGTTTGATCTGCGACACCAAATTACCAGAACGAACAGGACCCTAAGGAAATGAGACAGTCTCAACGAAATGAACTGTAAACAAAAAAAAATCTTCGTACCTTTATTTTGGTGAAGTCTATCACATGGGATATTGAAGGAGCTATTAACAGTCTTGGATCAAAAGCATCCACCACAGGCTTTATGTAGGAAAAGATTCCATCATTAGTGATAAAAAACCTCCAATAACAAACAATTTATGGCAACAAAACAAATATACAGTACATTAGTAATACTAAATACTAAGAATGGAAGATAATATCACATTTAACCTTTCTCTGTTCATGAGGAACCTCCCCAAACAAATTGGTAAATTTCAGAAAACATATTACCTGAGAAAAGTATCCTTGAAATGCAGTCCCATGCAGGGGTGTTAAATCAACACCATAATAGTTCTGTTGCTGCCAAAACAGTGCCTGAAAAAAAAAACAGTTAAAAAGAAGTGTACACAGGGACACGAAAAGGAACAGTCAGAAAGCAGCAATTTTTCACTGAGCGATAATCACTACGATGCCTTAACACCAGAGGCAATTCTAAACAAAATATGAAATCAGAAAAGCTTTTGATAGATTGTACAAAGCATAATAAGTTGCTGCTTTTTTTGCTAATCTCTTTTTAGTGTCAGGCTGAATATCATTGAAATCCATTTCACTGGACAACTGAAGCAAACCTCAGTAAGAGACACTCCAGACTGGCTTCTTCGTAATCCAGTAAATATACTCTTTTACAAAGATTAGCCTCTTCCATTACATTGATGCCAATTCCATATGGAAAGAAAACTCTCCAAAGGTGTATAAATTATGCATTATAATTTCAAGAAACAACTAATGAACACACACTTCTTCATGTATTAGCTACAGAACAAACGCAGACTCTCATCTACACATATAAACAAAGTCACGTTGTTTACACACCTTATTAGCAATTTCTATAAACAAATATTCATCAGTGAAAGGTGCCATGTGAATCCTACGTCAAAAAATAAATTCAAGGTTAGGAGAAGACAATATAATAATAAGATGATTATAAATAAAAGGCCTGTTTGTATTTTAAGGAAAAATGGTCCTATTTTAACACATGTTTGGATAATTTTATGATAAGTTTAAAACAATCTACAACAATGAAAGTTAACTCAGGTAGAAATTAAAAAGTCTGCTTCACTGATATTACTATGAATAGCTTAAGAAATTAAAGTTTAATCACAGGAATTTTTTCACTCAAGCATCAAATAAAATGTAAGCATAGAACCCGAATGAAACATTTTTTAAACACCCTGTACCTCATATTATTGTGAACTATTGTTGAAATAGCAATAGATACCATTTATAAAATTTGTTAACATGTCACTAGTCTTGGGATATAAAAAAATTTAATTAGAAATGACACATTGAAGAAGCAAAAAATTAGTTGCCGATAACTTGCCTTACTAAAATCTCATTTACTATTGTTACATGCTGGAAGTTCCAAGAAAGACAGAGAAGGGTGCTAGTTTACCTTCCCAGAGCTGGAAACATTTTTCCCGTAGGAACAAGAAACCTATCTCTGGCAATGACATAAGACTCCAACATTCTTTCATTGATTAACAAGGTTCCTGCATAACAAAAATAAGTTCCAACCAAAAAAAGAATGAAATTTCATGCCATGCTACAACTTCACTCTCCACTACAGACCGCAAAAACAAAACATATTTGACAGTTATATATAATGTATACATTGAAAATCAGCATTATTTTCAAGTTTTCTGGAAGGAAGTACAACACGAACTTACCCATGGGCTCAGATATCAGAATATCTGCTTTCTCTGGCAATTCAACATCCTCAACTTTGCCTTTGATCACCTTTATATAATTATTAAATAGAATAACACCATTAGTAATGAATACGTAATAAATAACAAATATAGCAAAAACCCATGAAAGAGATCTCACTGTAATTCGTTGAGCTAGCATTGGATTTCCAGCTATAAGTTTCCGTGCATATTCTGCCATTTCAGATGCTTCCACAGCATAAACATGTTTTGCACCAGCCTAAAAATGAATGTTAGAACCACAAGAACTTGACAAAGCTCTGATTGTAGGAGGAAAGGAAACATTGAAAATTCATTAAATTATAAGACCCAAGTAATGTGATGAGCTTACCTGAGCAGCAAATAGTGATAAAATACCACTACCAGCACCCACATCAACTACAACACGACCAGCGAAATCAGACCGGTTCTCAATAACAGCAGCATGATAGGTTCCTGGAAACAGTAATTAATGTCATATAAGTAGAATTCAAACAAAATGGGGATCACATTAATATAAAAAGGTATTACCTGTCCGCACATAGTCCTGTAACATATTTTGCTGATGCAGAAGTTGTCCTTAGTAATGAAAATACATTTTGGCAGATGATGACTCTATTTTCTCATCAAATTTGCTTTTAGAAGTTATATTTGATTGATTTCGCCCATTTGTTCCTGCATTGAAAAAATAAACATAAAGTTAAACAATATCATAATTTACAGAAAATAACCTTATGAGAATAAAATAAAGTACGATCAAAGGGCATCTATGAGAATGACCAATGTTTAAAATGAAAAAATCTATAATCAACAGAGAAATAATCAGTGCATGAAAAAAGAAAATTTGTTTAGACAGCAGCAGACAAGTTACAAATATGATGAAGGAAAAAAGTTTTAAGATAATAAAATAAAACATTAAAAATAAAGGCTTGACCCTCTACAATCCATGTTTTACGGGTCTAATGACTAATATGCAGTTAGTGCATAAGTATTACACATTTACTCTGACCACACACTTGACCTAAAGCAATTAAATAACAATAATTATAAAAACAATAAATGCAAACACAAAAACACCGTTGCTGGTGGAATAGTGCTATATGACAAAAGACCATTCCACAGCAAGTATTACATAAATGTTCAAAGCAGCACCTTGAGCATTGATTTCCTTTTTCCATTGTTGGACTACACAATGGAAGGCTTCACTCTCCTCCTCGTTTTTAAACTGGATATTGACTCCCCTGGAATAAGATGCCTGTTTCAAAAATAGCACAGTTAGAATGCATGAGCATTTATAAACAAACCAACAAATTATGTAACGGCTGTTAAACTAGAGATTTTATGCGAACTTATGAAGCATTCCTACACTCTACTCCTAGTGACTAGTAAATTTGTTAGTGATATAAAAAACTATTAATGACGTATATGCTTAAAAAAATATCCTTAACACTAATAAAACAAAATAGCAAAACAAATCATACTAAAAAAAGAACTGTTACTGCTGAAAAAAATGTTTTATTCTTGCACTAATATAAAAAACTATTAATGACGTATATGCTTAAAAAAATATCCTTAACACTAATAAAACAAAATAGCAAAACAAATCATACTAAAA